GAGCTTTTGAAGTTGACTCGTACCGCCTTCGAGGTCCCTAACGGATTCCCGAACCTCGTCGGATAACGAGTTGATCCTCTGATCCACAACCTCACTTTGCTCATCGATAGCCTGCCTGACAATGGCCCTGCTATCGGGAATGACCTCACCGGCAAACCGTTGAACAATCATTCGCATACGATCAGCATCCGCTTGGGTCGCAACCTCGGTAGCTAGACGGCCGACCTTGTCCTTCATGAGCCGATTCTCATTTTGCCATTCCTTTTGCATGGAACTCACCTGACCGTTCAGTAACCTGATCTGATTAGCAAAAGCATTGAGAGTGTTTGCAACGGAACCGGATGCCTCGCCTCGTTCAAACAGCTCCTGGATATGCAGGTCAAATACTTCCTTGACCCTAGCATCTCCAGATTCAGCAGAAGAATGGGATCTCAGAGCTGGAGGAGTCGATATCTCGATCCTCTCAGGAACCCTTTCAACTCTGTTACGTCCCCTGGGGTCGGAAACAGGAGCATCAGCGATCCTGGGCGGCCTGATTGGACTGATACCCCTTCCCCGGCTATCGCCGGATCTGGGATTGACATTCGACCCATGAGATTCAGGAGTGGAATGAATATGAACATCAGCAGGATCAAACATGTCTTCATCCTGCGGCGTTGAACCTATCGGTCCAGGGCTAGCCCTCCTCGCCTTCGACCTATCGGTCCCTCCGGCTACGGACGACGGCCTCTTCGCAGAGGCACTTCGTTCCCTGCTTGCTGATCCCCATTGGGGAGTGAACTCATTGCTACACCTTAGTGGCTCGAGGTCGCTGAGATCTCGCCCTAACGGGCTAGCGATCGGCGGACGATCCTCGATTCCAAGCGCACTAGCAAGTCTTCCGTCCCTCGCGCCTGCCTCAACCACATCGGCGGCTCGCTGAGTAATCCTGGATGAACCAGTACCCCGGTTCATATCCCCGACTCTCTGATGCAGCGGTCCTCCAAACTGGATGTTGGGAAAAGGGGGAACATTTGGGAAGGGATCAATGACGGGAGGACCTACCGGTCCTCTTCCGTCATGGATGGCCTCCAAACCCCTAAGGGTGCCCCGACTGTCCCTGATCCGCTCTCTTGCACTCCGAGTATCCGTGTCCACACGAAGGTCCCTAGCAGCTCCACAAGAGAGACTCCTAGCCTTCGCAGCAGCACGGCTCCTTGCATTCCGATACGACAAACTTTCTTCCTCTTCACGACCATCCGCAAATGCGGCATAATCTTCATCATCATTGAACTCAAAATTGGTCATCGAAACCGGGTTGGGCCTATTAGTGTCAGACTCTTGCTTCACGCTACTGCCCCAACCTGCGGTCGACGCCAGCAGGGCATCGTATCCGATGCCCGCAAACGCCCTCTCCTCTTGCTCATCAAACTGTTGATCGACCCGAGATATCTCTCGGAGCCAAAACCATGGTTCCCGGACCTAACGGTCTGTCCTCAACCTGATCCGAGGCTTGCGTTTCACCTGGAAAAAGAGACCTAGGGGGTCGATTAGGCAGAGCCTCCTGATCGTCCGTGTGAGGACGAGCCATGTTCATCGCCATGCTGATGAAGCCCAAATGACCTTGTCCGAAACCTGATTCGGAGCCGCTCCTACCGGAGCGAGCTCCTCGTCCTTGTTCATCATCGGTGGCCTGACGGAAAATGCGGTCGTCTCCATCGTCGGTGTACCTGCCACGGCTTCTGGGTGTGTCCCTACCGGGATCATCACCCCTGCGGTCCTGACCTGCTGAACCTGTCTCGAATTCCTCGTAGTCATAGTCCGGTAGGTCCTCACCTGAGCGGAGGCCACCTAGGATGGCCTCCTCATCCACGACGCTCCTGCGCGAACGTGGGGTCGACGTCATTGAGCTTGTAGTTGATGGTCTCAAGCGCGTAGGAAAGTCCTACGGCTGATAACCTGTGATTCGGGCACGAGCCTGTGCCCAGGCAATGGGTTAGTTGGGGTAAACAAGCCACAAAAGAAAGGTTCCCCAAAAGCAAACCAATCCCCGGTCCCAAAGATCAGGGTTTCCCACACACCAGAGAACAACAACCAAAGGAAAACAAACCAAACAAGAAAAGGGTTAACCCGCAACCTTGGTCGACAACAGGCCGCACGACTGGTCCCTACCAACCTGGCGGCGGCCCGAGGTCTCTTTCTCCCCCGAGATGCCGTCGGTCGACGCAGGGGTTCGGCGACGCCCATTCGAGGCGCGACGGAACCCAAAATCTTGAGCCAAACACCACAGGTCAGTCACTACCGCGACATCCCTGGTGATGAAATACACCATGGCTAATCACATATACGCATCGTCACACAGTCATGGCATCAATCCACCATTTCCCATGATTCACCGTCTGTCCCGTCTGTCAACATCTGATCTACTACCCTTCTCAGCTCAGAACAGAACATGCATGCCTCTCAAGCCAGGGGAAATCAGCTCATCTGCTGGATATGCTCCGCACTGTGTGTGTGTGTGTGCCCTCAGTCATGCTGGCTAAGTCAAATCGTCATCCTCTTCCCTGCATTGCTTTGCTCATTTCTGTATCCGGCATACATCGAGACACCATGCGGGTATCCATTGACAAACAAAATATACGCATCGTCACACAGTCATGGCATCAATCCACCATTCCCCATGATTCACCGTCTGTCCCGTCTGTCAACATCTGATCTACTACTCTTCTCAGCGCAGAACAGAACATGCATGCCTCTCAAGCCAGGGGAAATCAGCTCATCTGCTGGATATGCTCCGCACTGTGTGCCCTCAGTCATGCTGGCTAAGTCAAATCGTCATCCTCTTCCCTGCATTGCTTTGCTCAATTCTGTATCCGGCATACATCGAGACACCATTCGGGTACCCATCGACAAACAAAATATACGCATCGTCACACAGTCATGGCATCAATCCACCATTGCCCCATGATTCACCTTCTGTCCCGTCTGTCAACATCTGATCTACTACTCTTCTCAGCTCAGAACAGAACATGCATGCCTCTCAAGCCAGGGGAAATCAGCTCATCTGCTGGATATGCTCCGCACTGTGTGCCCTCAGTCATGCTGGCTAAGTCAAATCGTCATCCTCTTCCCTGCATTGCTTTGCTCAATTCTGTATCCGGCATACATCCAGACACCATGCGGGTGTCCATCGACAAACAAAATATACGCATCGTCACACAGTCATGGCATCAATCCACCATTCCCCATGATTCACCGTCTGTCCCGTCTGTCAACATCTGATCTACTACTCTTCTCAGCGCAGAACAGAACATGCATGCCTCTCAAGCCAGGGGAAATCAGCTCATCTGCTGGATATGCTCCGCACTGTGTGCCCTCAGTCATGCTGGCTAAGTCAAATCGTCATCCTCTTCCCTGCATTGCTTTGCATTTCTGTAGGCGGCATACATCGAGACACCATGCGGGTATCCATTGACAAAAATATATACGCATCGTCACACAGTCAGGGCATCAATCTACCATTCCCTATGATGCATCCTCCACAATGCCCAACGTCTGTCAACATCTGATCTACTACTCTTCTCAGCTCAGAACAGAACATGCATGCCTCTCAAGCAAGGGGAAATCAGCTCATCTGCTGGATATGCTCCGCACTCTGTGCCCTCAGTCATGCTGGCTAAGTCAAATCGTCATCCTCTTCCCTGATTTGCTTTGCTCATTTCTGTATCCGGCATACATCGAGACACCATGCGGGTATCCATTGACAAACAAAATATACGCATCGTCACACAGTCATGGCATCAATCCACCATTTCCCATGATTCACCGTCTGTCCCGTCTGTCAACATCTGATCTACTACTCTTCTCAGCTCAGAACAGAACATGCATGCCTCTCAAGCCAGGGGAAATCAGCTCATCTGCTGGATATGCTCCGCACTGTGTGCCCTCAGTCATGCTGGCTAAGTCAAATCGTCATCCTCTTCCCTGCATTGCCTTGCTCAATTCTGTATCCGGCATACATCGAGACACCATGCGGGTGCCCATTGACAAACAAAATATACGCATCGTCACACAGTCATGGCATCAATCCACCATTCCCTATAATGCATCCTCCACAATGCCCAACGTCTGTCAACATCTGATCTACTACTCTTCTCAGCTCAGAACAGAACATGCATGCCTCTCAAGCCAGGGGAAATCAGCTCATCTGCTGGATATGCTCCGCACTCTGTGCCCTCAGTCATGCTGGCTAAGTCAAATCGTCATCCTCTTCCCTGCATTGCTTTGCTCAATTCTGTATCCGGCATACATCGAGAAACCATGCGGTATCCATTGACAAACAAAATATACGAATCGTCACACAGTCATGGCATCAATCCACCATTCCCCCATCATCCACCCTTCACACTACCCAACGTCTGTCAACATCTGATCTACTACGCTTCTCAGCTCAGAACAGAACATGCATGCCTCTCAAGCCAGGGAAATCAGCTCATCTGCTGGATGTGCTCCGCACTCTGTGCCCTCAGTCATGCTGGCTAAGTCAAATCGTCATCCTCGTCCCTGCATTGCTTTGCTCAATTCCGTATCCGGCATACATCGAGACACCATGCGGGTGTCCATCGACAAACAAAATATACGAATCGTCACACAGTCAGGGCATCAATCCACAATTCCCTATGATGCATCCTTCACAATGCCCAGCGTCTGTCAACATCTGATCTACTACGCTTCTCAGCTCAGAACAGAACATGCATGCCTCTCAAGCCGGGGGAAATCAGCTCATCTGCTGGATGTTTTCTTTCCGCTGCTGTGCCCTCAGTCATGCTGGCTAAGTCGATTCGTCACCCTCTTTTCTGCACTGCTCAGGACTTTTGTTCTGGCCATTGGGGCTGCCCATGTTTGCTTGACTGGTTGATCAAGATTGCAAAACTGTTCGCCATGTCGCAAGCTGAACACACTATCTGAGTTTGTGTTTCACATCCACACAGTACCCCAAATGCCCCAGCGTCACACCCTGCCTTGCGCAAGAGGCTAAGTGCATGTTGCCAGCAGCCACCCCTGGCCAATTTGGCCGCGACTTCGTCACTTACGATGGATTGATTTGGTGTGACAAATAGTCTACTTGTGAAGGCCCTTGTACTTGGATACTTTCTTCTTACTGCCATGCGTGATCTTGCAAAGATCCGAACAAATTACTCCTGCCCCCATACCTCACTGAAAAATGACTTGCTTCGTGAGATCGGAAATGCGACATGCTTTCCACATCATGCTTTGCGCCTTCCGCGGTGTTGCTGGGTACTGGCAGGTCAAAACAAAACACTGCAAACCGCAAACCGGGGGAGCCATGCATCCGCCGCTTAACCAAACTTTCTGGAACTTCCTGGGCGAGAAAGCCGCACTTGTCCTGGGATGATAAGTATTTGCTTGATCTGGACTGAACCGGATCCTCAGCGCTGAAATACGTGCCCGAGTACAGAGAAAAATACAGATGCGCTGTTTATGTGCTACGGCCAATATTCATTGCGTCCCCGGCTGATTTGAGCTTGCGGTGAGCAACCCCCACTTCCTGTTGGCATCTTGGTCGTGTGTTCCATCTCATCCCCTTTAGTACCGTAGATGACAACTGACGTTGACGGTTGCTCATGTACAAAGCAAAACACTTCGCACTTTAGAAACGTCTCTCCAAACACCCAAATCCTCCACCCGCCTCTCACAAGCGCTGACAGCTGCGCCTTGGTCTGAGAACTGATCAAGCTGGCTTCCCTCTTCCCTTCGAGCCAATGTGCTGTAATTTCCTAAAGCAAAGGAGTCTCCTGACAGAAATAAGATTGCAAAAAAATGCCTGGCCCCCCTTTTGGTTTCCCTTTTGACGCCAAGGGATGTCCCCGGTCCCCCACTTCCTTGGGAGAAAAGCCGCTGCAAATGCAACAAACGGCAGCTTGTTGAGCAGGCTTGCAAACAGTGGGTTTCCCGTTCGAATAGTTAGCTGCCTTGGATGGGTTGGGTTTGCTTGTTCTGGATGGCTCAATCTGTGCATGAAGCTCCTTCGTGACCCGGAAACTTAGAGTCCAAAGGATCCAACCAAAAAACTGCTAAGTTGTCAGCTTTGCATCCAGGGAAAAAATATGTCAAGGGGAGAAGTTGAAAACATGCCGTAGGTTATGGCTTGTTGGAATCTTTGGGGAATTACCTTAGCGTCTGCTGCGTCCAAGCCCAAAAGAGCCTTCAGCCATAAACCTTCCTCGCCAATGAATTGACCAAGTCAACCAAAAGACTTGCTGAGGTCAGCTCCATACAAGACTCCATCCACTTGGATGGACTTCTGCAGGCAAGATTGGAACCTTGCAAGTGCCAGAGTAATCAAAACAAAGCAGAAAAAGAAGTGTACCCAAAACCCACGGGTAAGAATCAAGAGCGCCCTATGGTTGGGACTGTGCCAACCTCAATCCACCCGGGTTCAATGGCTCAGTTCGTCCATCGCTCCGCTTCAAGCCCTTGGCAGAAGCAGCGCCTTCGGCCATTCGCTCCTATTGCGGTAAGGGCATCCAAACCTGGGGTGGCCGAACCAAACGCCATCCGGATGCGGCGTCTTTGCGTCCATATGCCCACAAGGACCATGAAGGATCTTGACTTCCCAAAGAGAAGCCACAAGGAAACCAAATCAAAAACGGAACCGTGCGTGGAACTCTTGGGGGGCTCATCCCTGTGCACTTCAAATCTATCTTGCAACCTTTGGGTATCATCGGGATTTTGGGGGAGTTTTAGGGGTGCCTTCCCCCCCCAAGAAAAAAACAATAAAACGCCATGGATTCCACCCAGAGCGCCGTCCCGGCGCATCCGTCCTGCGCCGCAGGTCTGCCAGGAGAGTGGTCAGCTCCTGGCGGAAGGCTGACCCATGGATCTACACGCTGGCTACAGGTTCTCCGCTGATGGCTATGCAGGTTCTCACCGGGCCCAAGGCAGAACTGTGGATGGACGCGACATGATCTTCTCGCAGCACAGTTCAGAAACACTGGAATGATTCTATTTCCCCGTAAATACCAAAAAACAAAGTATGGTTGCAACCATGCTTTCAAAGTGGCGCACGATTTCGTCCATCCACAGCATGCAAGAAACCTGCAAACTGTCCTTTCACCAGCGTGCAAGTGTGGCTACAGTCCACCTTCGATGGTTTAAATTCAAACTCAACAGTTGTACTTTGCGCACGAGAAGGGCTTCACCAACTCAACTTAAGTTGGTTGACGTCGTGGCATCCCCAGAGGGGGACTCGAACTGAGTCCCGACAACCTAAAGGCGGAAGCAACTGCTCACAGGCTGCCGCCATACATGGGAATCGGCCCAAAAGCTAGACCCAACCAACTACTGGTGACTTGGCGAACACTGGTTTTAGGGAGCTGCTCGAAACCTGCGGATTGCTGGAAATGAAGATCATGTTCACCTCTGTCGACCGTGCCTTCGCGTCCAATGGACCGCTGCCTGAACCGCACAGAAGCTCTGTCTGGAGAAGGGGGTGTCTTTTGGAGGGTACCCCTCGTTTCTGGTCTTTCAAGGGAAACCGAAGGGAAAACCCCCGTCATTCCCTGAGGACGCAGCCTTCCATAGCTTGCCATGGCTGAGTGCATCCAAGTGGAGGCCAAGGAAAGCAAAGGAAGGCTGACACCCGCGGTGACCCATGGAGCCGCAGCTTCGAGCCACATGGGATCACATCACCGCCCTGTGCGCCTCCAAAGTTGGGGGACCCCTTGAACCGGGTTTTTACAACCCCGTTGCATGTCCCTTCCAAGCCAGCTCCAACACCTCCTTACACGCCAAGGACCTGGGATGAAAAAACCAACGGAGCCCTTTACAACCCCTCCCGGCGCCAGTGGACCTTCTTTCTGGCGCCCGGCGCTCGCTCATGAGCCCGCCAAGACTGCCAGCTGAGAGGCCGGCCTCAGCCAAGCGCACTGTGTTGAAGTGGTAGGAGGAGTCACATGGAACTCAGAAAGCCATCATGTCAGGAGGCTCCTTAAGGAAACCCTGGGGGGATGAAAGGTTCGTTTGGATCTAACCAGGAAGCAACCCAGCCAAGTTGCGACAAATGGGACTACAAAGTCCATGAAGCTCACCTGACCGGATTCAAATGTGAGATAGCAAACTGTTTGCCTGAGGGGTCAGAACTCGCGCGTCGAACAAAGGTTCGCAGCCTCTTCAAGGGCGGCACCGAGCACCGTCTCCAAATCCCTCGGCCAGCAAGAGTCGACCCCAGTCAAGCCATTCCCTGTCTTGGAAAAAAAAAAACAAAAAACTCAGCCGAGCTGCAGAGTCTGAAAGTCCAACTCTGAGAGTACGCCTGCCAGCGCAGCTACGGCCGTTCTGACACATGGGTTCCTTTCACCTCCGGCGAAAACCACTTTGCTGCAAGCCATCCTAACCCGTTCAGAAGGAACCCGTTCAACGGGGGCACGCATCGCCTTGTGCGTAGAAGGCCAGGATGGCTGAAAGAACGGCCAGCGTCAGCGGCAGCACATTGTCCACCAATCCCCGCACTCCAACCTCACTGCAAGCCTGGCCAACCTCACCCAACATTCAAAACCCCAGAGGTTTTCAAGATGGCTGCGGGCCAAAAATGGGTACCCAACATTCAACCTGGTAAATGGAAACATGGACTAAAACCTGCGGTCCCCTTGCTTAATCTTGGCAACCACAGCCAGATGCCGTCGCCGAGCTGAAATCTGACCGCCCAAATCGCGTGCGCCAGGTGGCCAGGGTGGCCGCCTCCACAGCCAGTTCCCAAAGCCCATCTTGCCACAGGAACTTCCTGCGCTTAGCGCCCGCGAAGCGCTCAAGCGCCAGAACTCGCACACAGCACGTGCGGCGCCTGAAGACGAAGCCATCCAAAAAGCCTGGCGTTGCCAACAAAAACGTCTCGCCCTTGAATCATGCATTGTCGGCTTGTGTCTTTCTGCAGGTACCCTTTTCAGCTCGGCTTGAGAACCAAAAGGATAAACCATTCTAGGGGTTGATTCCGTATTCTTTTCAACCAGCGTTCTTTTCAAAAATCGGCTGTTTCCCCTGGGTTTTTGATGGTTTCCTGAAAAGAAGGATCCCTGTAGCTTCAAGGATGTTGGCACATGGCGCCTGGGCTGATGACCACCCGCGCCAGCGCCCGCTCCACGCCTGCAGCTGAGACTCTCACCCAACAACCTTCACGAAGCCAGGGTTAGGACTCGCTATTCAAGCATGGTGAACCACTCAAAACATTGGTACAAACCACTCAACACGTCAAAACATGCTGAAACATGAAATCCTCATTGATTTCATTCGCCTCCTTTCTGTTCTTTAACGAGCTACGAGACCCTTCGAACAAATCTGGCCCATCGAATCACAAGCATTTTGCTGCACCTGCACTCAACTCAACCCCAACTCCCGCGGCCCGCTCGAGTTGAGGCTGTGCCTGGCTTCTTGGAGAAGGACCCAAAGACCGAGGCGAAGGAGCCCTCCGTGTGCACCCAGAAGTCCAGCATGGACCTCAAAGCCGTATCCTCAGCTCAGGGGCCCCACGACCAAAAGGGCCGCAGCACGGCTCGATGCGTTTGCCGAATGATTCACCTGGACTGCAACCAAACTCCGTGGGCCCATGGAACGGCTGTCAAATTGTCTGCGCTTTGTCGACTGAGACAGGTGGCGTTCCCCTTCCGCAGCAGCAAGCCGACAATGAACTTGTCCAGGCCTGCAGAAGTGGCTCAGACAGATTTGACGAGGAAACTCTTGAGCCCGGTGATCCCCTAAACAGTGGGGTGCCTCCTTTTTTGGATGGCGTTGGAAGAGACATTCAAAGGGACCGCCCCCGCCCCTCCCCGTTTTGCAGCGACAGCCTGGCTCTTGAAGCATCTCCGTGATGAAGACCATGGGCTTCTCCCGCTTCGCAATGCGTGCAAACCACCGCTGCATCTCCGGGTCCCTGTTCAGCCACCTGAAAGCGAAGCTTGGTCTCCAAATGGCAGATAAATTCCGCTGCTCCCTAAAAACAAACGGGTTCCCTTTGTTTCTCCTTGAAACAGCACCCCTACCAAGAAACTCAATTGAAATGAGCCAAACAGGTTGATACTTTTAAAACACAAAAAGAGCACCTGACAAACCCTTCGGAAATAAATGAATCAGGTCAGTTTGCATACGCTCTCCGAAACCAGACGTGCGACCATAAATATCGGAGCGCCCGCAGCCCCCACCCAGCCAGTGCAGACTCTTGTCGCAAGTTCTCTTGGAGGCTAGAACCTCGTTCCCAAGAGACAATCGGACCAGAATGAGTCCAATAATCGAACCTATGGTGTCCAACAAGCGGCTAGCTGGTTTGCATGTCTCCCATATTGGCAAATCTTCTCAACTGAGCACCAGCGAGTTTCTAGGTTGGGCCAAACAGCTGTTTAAACATGTTTCATTTGCTGCTGTTCAACATCCTCATTTGAGTGTTCACTTCATTTCTGGCTTGCACCATCTGTACGGCTTTGCCCCCCAAAACTGTTTTTCCTGCTTGACCGCCCCTTTGACCGCCCGCATTGACCGGCGCCACTGCTACAGCACCCCCCCCCCCCCAGCGAGTGGCGTGACGAAGCGGTAGACCCCGGGCTGGCGCAGCAGGCGGATCACGAACTTTCGGGCCTCCTTGAAACCCAAAAAGTCCTCCACCTTGTCCTTAGAAACGGCGTTGCTTCCCCAGAGTTTGGATTTGGTTTGAAGGGATTGTGGGGTTGGCTCCCCAAATTTGGATTTGGTTTGAAGGGATTGTGGGGTTGGTTCCCCAAATTTGGATTTGGTTTGAAGGGATTGTGGGGTTGGCTCCCCAAATTTGGGTTTGGTTTGAAGGGATTGTGGGGTTGGCTCCCCAAATTTGGATTTGGTTTGAAGGGATTGTGGGGTTGGTTCCCCAAATTTGGATTTGGTTTGAAGGGATTGTGGGGTTGGCTCCCCAAATTTGGACTTGGTTTGAAGGGATTGTGGGGTTGGTTCCCCAAATTTGGATTTGGTTTGAAGGGATTGTGGGGTTGGCTCCCCAAATTTGGATTTGGTTTGAAGGGATTGTGGGGTTGGCTCCCCAAATTTGGATTTGGTTTGAAGGGATTGTGGGGTTGGCTCCCCAAATTTGGACTTGGTTTGAAGGGATTGTGGGGTTGGTTCCCCAAATTTGGATTTGGTTTGAAGGGATTGTGGGGTTGGCTCCCCAAATTTGGATTTGGTTTGAAGGGATTGTGGGGTTGGCTCCCCAAATTTGGATTTGGATTGAAGGGATTGTGGGGTTGGCTCCCCAAATTTGGACTTGGTTTGAAGGGATTGTGGGGTTGGTTCCCCAAATTTGGATTTGGTTTGAAGGGATTGTGGGGTTGGCTCCCCAAATTTGGACTTGGTTTGAAGGGATTGTGGGGTTGGCTCCCCAAAATTGAATTTGCTTTGAAGGGATTGTGGGGGTGGCTCCCCAAATTTGGACTTGGTTTGAAGGGATTGTGGGGTTGGTTCCCCAAATTTGGATTTGCTTTGAAGGGATTGTGGGGTTGGCTCCCCAAATTTCGACTTGGTTTGAAGGGATTGTGGGGTTGGTTCCCCAAATTTGGATTTGGTTTGAAGGAATTGTGGGGTTGGTTCCCCAAATTTGGACTTGGTTTGAAGGGATTGTGGGGTTGGCTCCCCAAATTTGGACTTGGTTTGAAGGGATTGTGGGGTTGGTTCCCCAAATTTGGATTTGCTTTGAAGGGATTGTGGGGTTGGTTCCCCAAATTTGGACTTGGTTTGAAGGGATTGTGGGGTTGGTTCCCAAATTTGGATTTGCTTTGAAGGGATTGTGGGGTTGGTTCCCCAAATTTGGATTTGCTTTGAAGGGATTGTGGGGTTGGTTCCCCAAATTTGGATTTGCTTTGAAGGGATTGTGGGGTTGGTTCCCCAAATTTGGATTTGCTTTGAAGGGATTGTGGGGTTGGTTCCCCAAATTTGGATGTGCTTTGAAGGGATTGTGGGGTTGGTTCCCCAAATTGGATTTGCTTTGAAGGGATTGTGGGGTCGGCTCCCCAAATTTGGACTTGGTTTGAAGGGATTGTGGGGTTGGTTCCCCAAATTTGGATTTGCTTTGAAGGGATTGTGGGGTTGGTTCCCCAAATTTGGATTTGCTTTGAAGGGATTGTGGGGTTGGTTCCCCAAATTTGGATTTGCTTTGAAGGGATTGTGGGGTTGGTTCCCCAAAATTGGATTTGCTTTGAAGGGATTGTGGGGGTGGTTGCCCAAACTTGGACTTGCTTTGAAGGGATTGTGGGGTTGGTTCCCCAAATTTGGATTTGCTTTGAAGGGATTGTGGGGTTGGTTCCCCAAATTTGGATTTGCTTTGAAGGGATTGCGGGGTTGGTTCCCCAAATTTGGATTTGGTTTGAAGGGATTGTGGGGTTGGTTCCCCAAATTTGGATTTGCTTTGAAGGGATTGTGGGGTTGGTTCCCCAAATTTGGATTTGCTTTGAAGGGATTGCGGGGTTGGTTCCCCAAATTTGGATTTGGTTTGAAGGGATTGTGGGGTTGGTTCCCCAAATTTGGATTTGCTTTGAAGGGATTGTGGGGTTGGTGCCCAAACTTGGATTTGGTTTGAAGGGATTGTGGGGTTGGTTCCCCAAATTTGGATTTGGTTTGAAGGGATTGTGGGGTTGGTTCCCCAAATTTGGATTTGCTTTGAAGGGATTGTGGGGTTGGTTCCCCAAATTTGGATTTGCTTTGAAGGGATTGTGGGGTTGGTTCCCCAAATTTGGATTTGCTTTGAAGGGATTGTGGGGTTGGTTCCCCAAGTTTGGATTTGCTTTGAAGGGATTGTGGGGTTGGTTCCCCAAATTTGGATTTGCTTTGAAGGGATTGTGGGGTTGGCTCCCCAAATTTGGATTTGCTTTGAAGGGATTGTGGGGTTGGCTCCCCAAATTTGGATTTGGTTTTAAGGGAATGTGGGGTTGGTTCCCCAAACTTGGATTTGGTTTGAAGGGATTGTGGGGTTGGTTCCCCAAATTGGGATTTGCTTTGAAGGGATTGTGGGGTTGGCTCCCCAAATTTGGTTGCTTTGAAGGGATTGTGGGGTTGGTTCCCCAAATTTGAGTTGCTTTGAAGGGATTGTGAGTTGGTTCCCCAAATTTGGATTTGGTTTGAAGGGATTGTGGGGTTGGCTCCCCAAATTTGGACTTGGTTTGAAGGGATTGTGGGGTTGGTTCCCCAAATTTGGATTTGCTTTGAAGGGATTGTGGGGTTGGCTCCCCAAATTTGGATTTGGTTTGAAGGGATTGTGGGGTTGGTTCCCCAAATTTGAATTTGGATTGAAGGGATTGTGAGGTTGGTTCCCCAAATTTGGATTTGGTTTGAAGGGATTGTGGAGTTGGTTCCCCAAATTTGGATTTGGTTTGAAGGGATTGTGGGGTTGGTTCCCCAAATTTGCATTTGGTTTCAAGGGATTCTGGGGTTGGTGCCCCAAAATTGGATTTGGTTTGAAGGGATTGTGGAGTTGGTTGCCCAAATTTGGATTTGGTTTGAAGGGATTGTGGGGTTGGTTCCCCAAATTTGGATTTGCTTTGAAGGGATTGTGGGGTTGTCTCCCCAAATTTGGATTTGGTTTGAAGGGATTGTGGGGTTGGTTCCCCAAATTTGAATTTGGATTGAAGGGATTGTGAGGTTGGTTCCCCAAATTTGGATTTGGTTTGAAGGGATTGTGGAGTTGGTTCCCCAAATTTGGATTTGGTTTGAAGGGATTGTGGCGGTCGGTCCCACAATTTGAGACTTGGTTTTTTGAAAGGGATTGTGGGGTTCGGTTCACCAAATTTGGATTTGCTTTGAAGGGGATTGGGGGTTGGTTTCCCCAAATTTGGATTAATTTGCTTTTGAAGGGGGATTGTGGGTTGGCTCCCAAAATTTGGATTTGCTTTTTTGAGGGGATTGTGGGGTTGGTTCACCAAAAATTGGATTGTTTGAAAGGGATTGTGGGGGTGGTTGCCCAAACTTGGACTTGCTTTTGAAGGTATTGTGGGGTTGGTGCCACAAATTTGGATTTGCTTTGAAGGATTGTGGGGTTGGTTCCCCAAATTTGGATTTGCTTACTTTGAGGGATTGGGGGTTTGGTTCCCCAAATTTGGATTTGCTTTGAAGGGATTGCGGGGTTGGTTCCCCAAATTTGGATTTGGTTTGAAGGGATTGTGGGGTTGGTTCCCCAAATTTGGATTTGCTTTGAAGGGATTGTGGGGTTGGTGCCCAAACTTGGATTTGGTTTGAAGGGATTGTGGGGTTGGTTCCCCAAATTTGGATTTGGTTTGAAGGGATTGTGGGGTTGGTTCCCCAAATTTGGATTTGCTTTGAAGGGATTGTGGGGTTGGTTCCCCAAAATTTGGATTTCGCTTTGAAGGGATTGTGGGGTTGGTTTCCCCAAACAAATGTTTGGATTTGGTTTGAAGGGATTGTGGGGTTGGTTCCCCAAATTGGGATTTGCTTTGAAGGGATTGTGGGGTTGGCTCCCCAGCTCCCAAATTTGGATTTGCTTTGAAGGGATTGTGGGTTGGCTCCCCAAATTTGGATTTGGTTTAAAGGGAATGTGGGGTTGGTTCCCCAAATTTGGATTTGGTTTGAAGGGATTGTGGGGTTGGTTCCCCAAATTGGGATTTGCTTTGAAGGGATTGTGGGGTTGGCTCCCCAAATTTGGACTTGGTTTGAAGGGATTGTGGGGTTGGTTCCCCAAAATTTGGATTTGCTTTGAAGGGATTGTGGGGTTGGTTCCCCAAATTTGGATTTGCTTTCAAGGGATTGTGGGGTTGGTTCCCCAAATTTGGATTTGCTTTGAAGGGATTGTGGGGTTGGTTCCCCAAATTTGGATTTGGTTTGAAGGGATTGTGGGGTTGGTTCCCCAAATTTGGATTTGGTTTGAAGGGATTGTGGGGTTGGCTCCCCAAATTTGGACTTGGTTTGAAGGGATTGTGGGGTTGGTTCCCCAAATTTGGATTTGCTTTGAAGGGATTGTGGGGTTGGCTCCCCAAATTTGGATTTGGTTTGAAGGGATTGTGGGGTTGGTTCCCCAAATTTGGATTTGGTTTGAAGGGATTGTGAGGTTGGTTCCCCAAATTTGGATTTGGTTTGAAGGGATTGTGGGGTTGGCTCCCCAAATTTGGATTTGGTTTGAAGGGATTGTGGGGTTGGTTCCCCAAATTTGCATTTGGTTTCAAGGGATTCTGGGGTTGGTGCCCCAAAATTGGATTTGGTTTGAAGGGATTGTGGAGTTGGTTGCCCAAATTTGGATTTGGTTTGAAGGGATTGTGGGGTTGGTTCCCCAAATTTGGATTTGCTTTGAAGGGATTGTGGGGTTGGTGCCCAAACTTGGATTTGGTTTGAAGGGATTGTGGGGTTGGTTCCCCAAATTTGGATTTGGATTGAAGGGATTGTGGGCTTGGTCCCCCAACTTTGGATTTGGTTTGAAGGGATTTTGGGTTTGGTTCCCCAAATTGGGACTTCGTTTGAAGGGATTGTGGGGTTGGTTCCCCAAATTTGGATTTTGGATTGAAGGGATTGTGGGGTTGGTTCCCCAAATTTGGATTTGGTTTGAAGGGATTGTGGGGGTGGTTGCCCAAACTTGGACTTGGTTTGAAGGGATTGTGGGGTTGGTTCCCCAAATCTGGATTTGGTTTGAAGGGATTCTGGGGTTGGTTCCCCAAAATTTGGATTTGCTTTGAAGGGATTGTGGGGGTGATTGCCCAAACTTAGATTTGGTTTGAAGGGATTGTGCGGCTGGTTCCCCAAATTTGGATTTGGATTGAAGAGATTGTGGGATTGGTTCCCCAAATTTGGATTTGGTTTGAAGGGATTGTGTGGTTGGTTCCCCAAATTTGGATTTTGTTTGAAGGGATTGTCGGGTTGGTTCCCCAAATTTGGATTTGGTTTGAAGGGATTGTGGGGTTGGTGCCCCCAACTTGGATTTGGTTTGAAGGGATTGTGGGGTTGGTTGCCCAAACTTGGATTTGGTTTGAAGGGATTGTGGGGTTGGTTCCCCAAATTTGGATTTGGTTTGAAGGGATTGTGAGGTTGCTTCCCGGGATTTTGGGGATCGTTCCCCAACTTTGGATGTGGTTTGAAGATATTTTGGGTTTGGCTCCCCAAATTGGATTTGGTGTGAGAGGGATTTTGGGTTTGGTTCCTCAAAATTGGATTTGGTTTTAAGGGATATTGTTTCACGCTTGCTTCCCCAAATTCGGCTTGGTTTCAAGGTAGTTTGGGGTTGCCCCCAAGTTTGGGTCGGTTCAGGTTCCCCAAAATGTGGGCTTATCTAAAGGGAGTTCCCAAAGGGAAACCGCAGGAAAACAACCCGGCTTTGTTCTAGCTGTTCGTTTTGGAGTTGGTAACTCTTTTGGGGTGGTTCAAAGGGATTCCCGGCAGGGCAACCGATGCCCGTTTTGGGAATCCTTGGATCAAATCCAGGATGGCCCCAGGGGGCCTCGACACATCATAGGTTGGAACTGCCTGGCGATCTCAAAAGCGCAGCTCTGATGATAGGACCTCGCCTGGCACCTGACAACAAAGTGACATGAGGAAGGTACCCCTTCGCCCAGGCATCCAACTTTCTCCGCGCTTGGTCACGTGTTACTGCGCAATTCCCCAGATGTTGCCTTCCAAAAGGGGAAGCATCGCGAATTTCGGGAGAAACTCCCAGAGCCCAAGAAGGAAACCATGCCACTCGCCGGCTCCAGAGCCCAGGCACAATGAAGCCAGGCTCCAGCAACAGGCGGTGAGCGAAGCCAGCGCCGCGGGGGTCGCTCAACAAGGCGCCCAGCCACTCCTCCACACCTCAGCTCGTTGGGTGTGTCTTAAAACAGGGACCCCCCCCCCAAAAAAAATGTAGAAAAGGCTTGTCCTAGGGGGTGGGGGGTTGATGGTTGCCTGTTCTGCTTTCTTTTTCACAATTCAACACGTGTACCACCTTATCCGTTTTTAAAAGGCTGATTCTGGGGCCAAGAAATAACGATATGGATGTGGTAACGAATTGATGATTTGGTCCCCTGTCTCGTTCCAGATTTCAACTTTTAGTTTTATTGATTGAAAGAGGATAGGACTTTCTGCGGTTTCATGGGTTGGCTTTTGGGCGGTTGTTGTGGTTTGTCATTTGATGAAATGTTTATAGGTTAAAAGTTTGCTATAATTATAACATATAAGTTTATAAATGTTATGATTATAGTATGATTATAATTTCAGTTCAGGATAATAATTTAATTGAAACATCTTACTTCTTTCGTACATCATCTTAAAAATAACATTAACATCTCTCACGGTATTTTTAACATTAAACTTTTCACTTTCAATATATGATTTAATGTCTTCTTTTTCATCAAACCCTTCCCTTCTATAATAAGTCAACATCTTTAATATTCTGTCAATCATTTCATATTTTTTCTTACTGATTTTCAGAAATGCTCTAACATAACTATAAGGTGGTATTTCATACACAGTTAAAAATATCAAAATGTCATCTTCAACATTTCGTTCATCTATTTTTTTAATCTCCAAAAAATTATCTATTATATTTTGATATCGTCTCCATCTTCTACAAGTTCTACATACATCTTCTTCACTCAAAGCATAATCAATAATATTATTTACTATACCGTTTGGTAAATTCATTTTGTATAATTCCATATTTTCTTTTTTGAAGTGGCAACAATCATAGCATTTCTTATTAATATAACTGTTGATTTCATCATAGTTCATTTGTCTCTTATTATATTATATTATTTTTCTTTAAGTAGTTTTTAGCTGGGGGTTTCAGGTTTCATTTAAATGTAGTGTTAGATTATAAAACTTTGTTGTAATCATATTATAGTTATAGAATAATATGAATAAACCTATTTTCAGTGTTTCCAGTCTCCTATGTTGTTCCAAGAACTGCCTAAGATGTTTCTGATATTATACCAGATTAAGTTAACGTCATAATCTTTCATTGGGGCTCTTTGTTGTATTAAATAACGTAAAACTGATATCAAAGTATAGTAATTAAACTGCATTGCTGTCATTCCTCCTCTTTCATTCATACTATTACCATTCTGTTTAACGAGTTCTTCTTTCATTATGTTTTCGTAAATCTCTTTTATCCATTGATGATTTTGTTCTCCATACTCTGCGAACACATCCAGATAAATTCCTTCAATCGCTCTATCGGCTTTAATTATGTCAATTACTTGTTCATATGGCGGATAAAGGTTGTTCCCGTCAACATGTTCCAATCAACATGTGTTCCAACCAGCATGTTCGCTCCATCATGTTCTGGAGAACATATGTTGAAGACAACACCCACCATGTTGAAACAACATACCCCTATCTTAAATCAACATCAGTGTCTACGTGTGTGTTTTCCTTTCAGATGTTGAAACAACATACCCCTATGTTAAAACAACATACCCATATGTTAAATCAACATGCCCCTATGTTGAAATCAACATCCATGAGACACATGTTGTCGGGAACATCTGCTTGTCAGGGTGAGGGTAGCGTAGTCTGTTCTACCATAAACCATCCTTTCTTTCCGAGCGAGGGGAAAAAAAGCACGATTCCTTGAGAAAGATGACAATGATTGACGACACCCACACCCTTACTTTTCACTTTGCTTTTGTTATCGTATCCACTCCGCCTGAGGTTGAGAAGTCCTGCTGATCGAGCTCTACATGACCGCCGTCTATCAGGTTCAACAGTCTTAGGGTTTTGAGGTTGTTTATGGGAAACTCTCGCAAATTTGTTATTTCAATGTTTGAGCCCAAGCCCAATTTTCAAGGTTTCTTCCCTCTCGACCCTTCAACTACACTTTCTGAAAACCCACCAAAACAAGGGCATAATCCACCATTTCCCAAATCATCGAAACCCAAAAAATCACAAAATCCATTTCAAGCTCATCACCAACAACCCCAATTTCAAGTTTCAAGCCCAAGCCCAAACCCACCCCTTTTATCCAGCCCTGTTTGTCAGAAGGTCCACCTCCAACGACATCAAGGACGCTCATGACGCTGGTTGCTTGTAATGCTTAATCCCCCCTTCTATCAAACAAACAAACAAATATATCACTAATCAAATCAGTAGGTATCTTATACAACTCATCTTGTTTATGACTGATGTATCCATCACCCCAATCAACCTTTTTACCACTTGGCAACCGTTGAGCAGTTTCAAGATGTTTTCCATTTCTTATCTTGCCACAATCCCTTTTACAGAATGGTCTAGGTTTCCACGTTTCAATGTTAGTCCACAACCTCATCCTCTTTCGATAGTTCATACCATATTTACAGTAATCCACATCATAATATTTTAGACCTCTCATAAAGGGCTGTTCCTTTAACAATCCAGTTGCAGGGTTTTCAATGACCCACCACTTCGGTTTGAAGTAGTCGATGATTTCAAGGGTTTTCAAAACAATACTATTAGCATACTGAATCTTTCGGACACCCCTCGTCTTCGCTATGCTGTATTCTGTGCACGGAGGAGATGACCAAATCACATCAAAATCATCAACATCAAACTCTTTGTAGTCCCAACTCAGAATATCCTGATTGATATCAGCATTTTTCAAATCCAAGGAAATCACACTGCAGCCCAAATCACGAGCGACCATGCCAACACTGCCAGTACCACTAAATAATTCTAATAATTTCATATTATTAGAATTATTTAGATATTTATTTTATTGTGTAGTGTCGCGAAGCTCACTAGGCTATTGCTTCGCAATAGCGTAGTGTCCATACGGGATTGAATTGAAAGCATCAATATAAAACCTTTTATTTTCATAATTACTGAGTGATTGCTTGACTTGAGACATTGAATATATTTGATGTGTTTTGCTCCTGATGAAGTTGTAGGAGATTTCGTGCTTTTTGTTGTAATCAGTGCTTCATGATAGTTCTGATATGTTAATTCCTTTTTAACCTTGTGCTTGACTACACCTTTTGACTTCTTGTGTTCCTCATCCTCGCCGTGGATTGTGAAAGCATAGGATTTAGGTTTCAACCCGATAAATCTAGTGATGATTTTTCCATTGACTTCATCTTTGTACATTCCTAAGACCTTCTTATTTGTTTTGTCGTGGCATGGATGTTCAACAGGATAATCGCTAAAATCCATATGTTGCTTGATTCCTTGAAAATCCTTGTAGACATCATCAGTGAAGGTTTGAATTACATAACTGTCAGTATCTGTATATATCAATTTGATATTTTCGTTGTATTTCTTTTTCAACACACCATAATAAAACTCATACATATGTAATTTACTCAAATCCAATATTGTCATTCCTAAGAATATGGGTTTATCCAATTTCAGTTTAGCTTTAGTTTTCTCCACTCCTACCAGATTTTCATTAATGATAAATCTATTTTTGAAAGTAGGATTATTCACGCATTTTTCATACCTAACATCATTATCTACCAGTTCAAAATCCATATGTTTTCTTTTGTCTTCCATAGTTTTTCCATACACCGCGTTATTCATTAATTTAAACAAATCCTTCTCAAAGTCGCTCTTCGCTTCTTTCCTCTTACCAGTGTTGAAGTCAATCCATGGTTTCAACCAAGCCCTCTGTTGAAATTTTATTATCCTATGAACCTTGGTGAGTTTCATACCCATTTTTAGATAATACTGTAAAGTCTTGATATGAACAACATATTTTTCTTTATCTTTCAAATTTAATATTAACTTGCTGGTTTTCTCATCCTTCGGTTCTTTGTTTCCATAGTAGATTTTGTAGATTTCCTTTTGATAGTCTGACAACATATTAGCATTGACATTCATTATTTCCGGTGCTAGTGGATAGTCCGAATGGTAGTCGTGTAGTGTTTCTGGATATTCCAAATCCACTTCAAGGATGAAACCGTACTCATCTTTTTCATCCCACTTTTCAATGTTAGGTGTTTTCTTTGTCCATTTGATGTTCTTTAAAGGCAATTTTTGAGACATCGCCAGACCATACAGATTGTTAGCATCTAAGTAATTGATATAACTTGACGGTTTACTTTCATCAAAGGCTTCATCCATATACTTATTGTTAGCCACAGCCAGTTTATGACTGACCTGACACATACCTCCTCTCATTCCCTGTTCAACCATCTCATACATTTCTTTATCGTGTAACTGTTCAATTTCAACACCTGTTTTCAACAACATAGCTTCCCAAGCGAAGTTAGGAAGTGTATAATAGTGTGCGGGGTCCAAACCGTAGTATTCCATACATAAGTCTCTAAAGTTTTCAAAAACATCAGTCAATAATAAAACATCGGTTCTCAAATACAAATCGTGATATTGTCCTAATGTTCTAATACCGAAGTGTTTCCAAACCTTTTGTGCCCTTTCATAATCTTTGTCACTGACATGTTCCTCACTTAATTTACTGTAGAACGCTTCTTTTGATGGTAAGTTTCTTTCAGTAAATCTGTCAAAACTATCAAAATAGTCATAAGGATAAATCCCCTTGTCAGTCAACAAGTCCAAATCTTCATCGGTTTTAACATATGGATTTCTAACACTGTATCTAAAATTGTTCTTCCAGTTCTCACGCCTTTTATCATCTTCATACTTACTCAACTTTACCAACTTATCCAACGAAGACGATAAGAAGCTAAAACTGTCCTTGAAACAAAGGTTTTTAAAACCAAAGGTTATGAACTTCTCGCTGTTCTGTGCGATGCAATCGATTTTAGCATTCTTGCTCAGTTCGTGTGCCTTGTTGATGATTAAGTGAGCGTCATAGTTTTTCAGGTTGTAAAGAAAGACTGGGATTTTGTAGTATCTCATACTAAATCGTAGATTGCATGCTT